CCTCTTCTTGCATTCCTCCGGCGAGTTCGGCCTCCATGGCGGCCAGCATCTCATCGTCCTCGTCATCTACGTCCACATCCATCTGAGCGGTTGCTTGCTCGCCAAAGTAATCTTGTTCGACCTCGCCCTCGGCATCCTCTTCGTCGCCAGAAGACGTGTCGCCGTCATCGTCATTAAGGAATTCGACATGTGTCTCCTCAGCAGCCGCGTCTGCCTCGAGCAATTTAGTGACCACGTCGGCGCTTGTCTGCCACTGTTTCTCTGAAAGCGTCTTTCTAAACCGTCGGTGTACGGCGTCATGCATTGGGGGTGTGATGCCATGAGGCCACTTATGCTCGTACTTAGCGACCATAGGCGGGAGAGGAATCGTCTTGGCCTCATTCTCGTTCTTGACCTCGGCAAAGCAGAGGAGCATCTCGGTGATGTCGGAATTCTTCATCATGTTCTTGCGGTCCCAAGACTTCATGGCCTCTGTGATGGTGGGGAGATGGACCAGAGCGGCGGCATATAGTATTCCGTTGATGGTCACCATAGCTCGCCGCTGCTTGGCATCGAGGAACTGTACGCTGAAGTCGGCACCTCCAGCAGGTCTAGGCAGGCCCATGGTGCCTTCGGACAGAGAATGTTTCAAGTAGTCGGCGGAGCTGTTAGATAGGACACGCAAGATAAAGGTCGTCTCCCGAACGGGGTCGGCTTCGCGGTCGCTCGCCTCGGAGTCGTAAGCATCGCCCGGATGGTGCTCTATCGGTTCTCCTCTAGGCTTGAACTTGATGGAGCTGATGGGTGTCGCAGGAGTAGCAGCTGACTTGGAGATGCCCGACTTGGAGGCGGCCGGCTTGAAGACACCTGACTTGAGCTTCACCTTTTTAGAGTCAGGTCGACTCTGCGACAAGGGTTGGTCCTCATCGTCGCTTTCGAGAGGGCGCTTCCGAGCTTCCATGAGTTTGGCGGTGGGCTTGGAAAATCTGCCGGCCTTGGAAACGGTAGGAGTATGTGTCTGGGTGGCAGGAGCGCCGGCTGGCGTGCCCGGTTGACTGTTGTTCAGCTTGATGATGATCCTCTTAGGCTCAGAAGAGGGAGTAGGCGTGCCGATGTCACCGCCGAAAGAAGACTGACGAGACTTGGTGTTGAGTTTGAGGATCGGTTTGGGATTGTCGGGATTCGATGGAGGAGGCATCTGCTGGGCTGTATCCAGCTTCAAGGTGGGCTTCACATTTATAGAAGACATTGTGAAGGGTGGCGATGGTGCTGACGCCCGATCGCGAAGGTTAAAGTAGGTAATAGTTCATGCGTGATTCGAACTTGCAGATCAAAAGTATGAATAGGCCAGCTTCGGAGTCCGAGGCGCGGATAGGAGTATGAGCAAGGCAAGCCCAGCACTTGGACGTCTTGGATTGGCTGTGCTTGCTGTAGCGTTTGCTGGATGCAGATGAATAGGTTCGGGATTGCGTTGATATCGGGCAGAGGGATATAGTTGATGGAGAGAGAGAGAAAGAGAAGGTTTGAATTGCGAAGTGCTTATCGATAGCTTCGGTTTGTAGCGATGCGCGTCGGGAAGCGTAGCTGAGGCAAACGGCGAGCCAAGAACGGGTTGCTTGTGACGGCGCGTGTAACTTACGTGGTGGTCCAAGCTTGCGGCTAAGCAGGGCTGGTAGCTTGGCTCGCTATTGGGTTAGGTACTTTATGTACTTTTATGTACCTAGAAAGTGAATCAGAGACACACCATCAACTTCGAATAAAACCTCCATTCGGTTGATGACTGAGTAACCACCTTATGCTCCCTTATGCTCCTCCTATCTACACGTGAATTTTGTCACGTTTATATACTCGCGGTACCTGCATGTAGGTGATCGGGTCGTACATATAAAGCTCACAATCATGGTTTTAGGTACATATATGTACCTAGGCCAAGGAATTACAGATGGGTCCACATTATGCGGTAGACTGAGCTTTAGAGTGGGTACCTAGGTACCTTAGGTAGGTACCTTTCCTCTGCCTCGCGACCTCGTCAACGTTTGCTTCACTCGCCCGTCACCTTATTACTCTAACCCCAACAACCAACTGCCACCAACCAACCTCGAATCCCCCAAGAAATAAATTTCAGGCTGACGGCGTCACAAGTACGGTTCTGGATGGCGAAATACCTAGCATGTGGCTGCTAGGAATCGCCCACTTCTTCCATGACCGATGGACAGCTATCATCCAACAAACTTGAGGTAGCTAACCACGCCATTAACCTCGACGCGCTCAGTCCTTCTCGCTCCCCGATACTCTCTCTCGTCTCTCGAAATTCACCTCTCGAGTTCAACACCCAAACTAACACACAAACAAAAACTTTCTGATCCGATCCCACCCTCGAGCCAATTCAAATCTCCACTACACTCTTTCTCGAGCGGTTCCTACATCTACTGGGCTACAATCTTCTTACAAAACTCGACCGACCAAACTCAAAACTCGTCGTTAATCAAACCAACTTGTAATAATCCTCGGTCAGAGCTCATCAAGTTCACCATTGGCGACTTCTTGTCAGAACTGTCTCTCCCAAATCCTCGCGAAATTCAACCGCCAAACCAGTCCTTCTCTTTCCACAACGACAAATCTCAGAGATCTGATGATACTCCAAAACTGAATCTGCTCCCTTTCCCGACACGCTCAGCGATACCGAACTGCCGGTTACACCAACAAAATTCCCGATCCAGATTCACCGCACACCTGTCACTTCGCCAGCGAGCATCTAATCCACACGATGTCTTCTCGCTCTCAGCAGGCTCAGCTGCCTCCCACTGCTGACCAGATCCATCTGGCCTTCCTTCGACCGTCTATTCTGCAAATCCTGCGCGCTCAAGGTTACTATTCAACTACGCCTGCTACTGCCGACGCCATCACTGAGATCGCGGCCAACTACATGACGGCAATTGCCCAGCAGACGGCGCGCCATGCCGAGATCAACAATGAGCATGGATGTCCTGGAATCCCCGACGTCGTCGATGTGCGGATGGCGCTTGAAGACTGCGGCGCGATTTGGCCTGTTCGCGAATTCACGGAGCAGGAAGTTAGTGGAGAAGAGGACATGCGAGGTGTCGACGACTTCATCCAATGGAGTCAGGGAAAGAAGAACCAGCGGATCCGCAAAGTAGCTGGCCTCGACAAACCGGTCGCGACGGACGTCGGTGTCGAGGGCGTAGAGGAGCAGCGTCCAACGGACTACTTGAACGGTACGGCAAAGCTCTGGATTTGTGCCAAAATCTAATCGTGAGGGATACTGACAGAGGAACAGCACTCAAGCGCAAGCACAACAAGATCGACGATGACTCTAAATACGCCAGTACCATCCTTGGCCGCGGCATTTTCGAAGGCGAAGTCGCTCTCGAAGGTGGCGACAAGAGCAGTATCCGCGCTTGGAAGCGCGCAAGACACGAGGCCGCGCGGCGCCCGGCTGACTCAGTCGCCGTCGATACCGATTCCAGACCAGCAAGCTCAGGTCTGAGTTCCTTGGCCGACGAGGACGTGGCCATGATCTCCATGGATTTCGACAGCTAAATCTAAAGATTCCAATCGCGCCTGAAATACGACGCATTGGCCGTGGTTTACTACAAGCCCACGTTCGATCCTCGTCACTCGTCTACGAAAAAGAACGCGGCTCACGAAATCGGCACGCGTACTCCGGTAAGTGGCACAGTCTCTAGTTTCTCGAATCTCTCGGCTGACGCTTCCTAGCTTCCTGCCCCAGCGGCCCCATGTCTCCGATAGGAGCGAAAAATCATGGGCTCTTTTGGCGTCTCAGTTACATTGCATAGCTTCGGCGTTGGTCTTGATCTTCTTGGTGGAGGGATGATATCAGGCTAGGGGGGATACGAGACAGACACTTCTGTGTTAGACGGTGTTTTACAGTGCGTCTGTGGAATTAAATCGCAATGGCATTGTGCATACGGGTCAAGGCGATATAATTTTGCAATGGGTGCCTTACGTACGACTGAGAGCTACGCTATGGCTCCGACTAATCAGGCGATCTTTGAACAGTACGGGTTTCAGTGGCCTATCTCTGAAACCAAATACTCCCATCTCATTAGATATTGATACCATGAGAGGGGGTAGAAGAAAGGATGGGGTTCAGACCTCGGGACACAGTCCAAACCACATATATTTAATCAGAGAACCCAACGACAAGCTCGTTGGACATGTCGCTACGATATTTGAATACTAGTATGAAATGCCTACAACACACAAACCATGAATGTCTCTATCTCTGGAGAGGGCTGAGTCAAAGCGGGAGGCGAACCATATGTACAGATCGCGGAACGGGTCTCTTCTCATGGGCGTTCCGAGTCTTGATCTTCCAAAACTCGAAGATAATAATCTAGTCGGTCAGCGACTCTGAAATGGTAACAGACACCGTTCTAAGCGTATAATCGACCCCACCCCCCGGGGCACCTCTCTGCCTCTTAGCTACCTAGGTACCTTGTGGCAACAGTTAAACTTGGACGAGTATTCATGGTAGGGATAGATATATCAATCGGCTGAACATGCTTCAAACTGAAATCTCATGTCAATATCCATACCAATAACACTAGCATTCGTACCCCGGATTACCCCTTTTCCCCTGGTCATATAAGGCACCTTGGTAACCGGGTTTAAGTCTAGAATACAGGTGCCGACGGTTTGTAAATGTCTCTATTATACAGAGTTACTACCTAGGTATTGATTGTATTAAGTGTTATATTTCGAATTACTTGCTTTTCCCTGCTCTTCATGGGGTCTGGCGTGACTAGCTGTGCCGTCAACCCATTATAGGGGTAGCAACACATAGGGCCCAGTCAGCCCAGACTCTATCTGAAATGCCTACTACGATTATTTCCAAAAGGGTGCAAATAATTCATCTTGGTTTGGCTCCTAAGATTATGTGCAGCGAAGAAGTAAAAGCATATATGAGAATAGGGGGTGGAAGAATAGGGGAGGGCGGGCGAAGAGTATTTGTTGAAAAAAGAAAAGAAAAATTGATTTGCCAAGGGCCAGAATCGAACTGGCGCTTCCGGTGGGAGTGATTGTGCATCCACTAAATCCCCTCGCTGTGTCTGGCATCCGCAAATTTGTGTGGTGTCTAACATCCACGTAGGGATCTAGTGCAGGCGGGGCTCCTCTCCGGTGTCACTACCACTAGACCACCTTGGCTTAACAGCTTGTCTGTGTAAAAGCCTACAGTCTACTTGGCTATATATGCCCCTAGTTTTGCCGGGAGTTTGAAGGGCGTTTGGGGGGAGGGGGCGTATCCGGGCGCCAGCTCGGTGGTTGCTCCGGACAGCCCGGCGCGACGCCGGGACCTGCCAGGTGCCAAAGTGTGCTTGGGCCAGCACTGACACTACAGTAGACATGCCACTGCGGTTTGTTTTTACCAGACGGCACTTTACGTTTGACTCGTCTCTATCTCTGGTCTACGCCTCTCCTTGATATCTCGCAGCCAGAAACCTTGGGATTCTGTCCAGCCCCTGTTCCCAGCTATCTGAGTACTCACCGGTGGCTTGCTTCCATTAAACACACTGAGTACCACCGCATGGCCACCCGGGTCACTTACACCCTCCACACACCATGTCGCCAAAGACTTCACCGAAAGAAGCCACGACTCCTAATGGTCATACACCTGCCTAAGTGAATAGGTTCAGGGGTAAACTACCACATCACTCTTTCCTTGGACGCAACAGGCAGCCATACCTGGGCCCAAGGAAAGAGGTTGTCTCCATCTGCCACTCTTACGCACGTCACCGTAGTAAGTGTGGTAACTTCCCTAGTTCCCCTTTTCTATCTTCTTCTCTGCATTTCTCATCTTTCCAACCCTCTCTGACTTCATCTTTCTCCTCTTCCTCACTCGAAAACACAATTTGTTACAGTACGCTTACTCGTCCAGTCACCACCGTATCTATGTTCTCCTCTTCTCTTGAATCGCCATCGCCATCAGCAATCTCATCGCTACCACCACTATGAGGATAACGTGCTCTCTTCCTCCCTGCCATCCATCGCTACCGCCGTCAACAACAACCCAGAGCTCCTCTCCCTCACCCATGGAGGCGACCCAGCTCCTTGACGCTTAGGTTAGCTGCCTTGCCTCCACAAATATCAGTAGCAATTATTGCAACGACGACAAACAAGTCAGCCGTGGCTAATGACACATAAACCAGAACCTGGGCGGTGGAGACGATTCGAATGCCAAAGCTTGCGGACTGATCTCTCACCTCCAAGTGATAAATCAGGTGTACAGTTCTGTCTACCCAGGTCATCATCAGCTTCGAGATGACCACGGCGAAGGTAGAGCACCATCACCAGCAACAAGCTCGTGTCTTTTTACTCTCCCTAGGACCATGGTATCAATCTAAGTGCCCCTAACCAAGCCCAGATCCAAACATTGCAACCTAAACCTACGCCCCGATCGCAACCACAACAGGCCCCCGCAAACCATGCGTCGCCTGAGACACCTCGTCGCGAGATCCGCACAGCGTATGACTGAGAATTGACAACGAGACGTTGTCTTTTTTCTTCAAGAAGGGGCAGATGATGGAGAAGGAAGGTTAGAAGGAAGGTCAAAAGGAAGCAACGTTAGGAGAGAGCGCAAGAGCAACATCGTAAAGAAGGAGTGACGATGGCATACAAACATACATACGTAGCTTTCCTTTCTAGCTATTCCTAACGAATACAACTTCATTCTGCTTCTTGACCTGACTGCTTGCCAGTGGCCTTACAATTGGTAGCTTGTCTTGTTCCCTTCGGAAAATCTTACCGTTGAAGCATTTTGTCTCGGATTACAAACCCTGGGTCGTAGCACCACCACTTCATCAACCTCAAAGACACCCTTTGCAGAGGGTTGCCGACCTGAGGGCGCTGTATCCAGTTCACGTTTCCTCTATAGGAAGATCCCTGACACAATCGCACTCGGCGTCACCGACCTGATTGTCAGCACAGTCGATAGGGTGCCTATGAGGCCGGGAGCATTGCTGGACGTTTCTTCCTCTGCCCTGCCCTTCTACCTCTTTCATCTTCTCCGTCCTCCATGCTCTACATCTTCTCCCCGCCCTCCATAATATCTTCTTCGTCCTCTACATCTCCCTCTTTCGTCCCCCTCCCACCTCCTTTTCCCTTAATCCTCTTCGTCCTCTTCTTCTCGCCTAAATTCCTTTTTGATCCTCTTGATGCTCCTCTTCTTTACTGCTGGCCTGTACCGACTCAACTGCGGGAAACTGGCTGAGGATGCGGGAACCCTGCCTAGCGCATGTACGGCACACGAACCACCGTGCAGTGTGGCTCTTCGACTCTCCTGTTACTAGTTTGTCCTGCTGCGTCGAGGGAACACGGTTACGAGGGAGTAGGTAAGCATCAGGACCAACTTAGCAAAGCATTAGCTGCTCTCGGCATCTAGCATGGCTAGTATTAGTTTGAATAGGAATTCGTTTCAAGTCACTCAGTCGTACTTGGACGTAACGATGGGTTAGCTGTGACGCCGTAGATGTAGAATTCATAACTCTCCACCACGTTGAGTACATACCCCTGAGACGTCAGTCAAAAGTGTTTCTCGTGTTGAGAGATGATGGTACAAGATGAAACCCGTCTTTCTAACCATAAGACCCCGCTCGTTTGGTATTTTTTCTTCTCTAAATCATAGGTCCGTTGTAATAAACCGAGTACCCAAGCAGGCGCGCTCATCAGTCTAAGCTGAAGTCTGATGAGATGTGATATATGCAAACAACCGGCACCAGTGTATATGCTCTGCGAAGAGAGATCGTGTTGTGTTATGTACGAACTTTTCCCCTTTTCCCCAGCAGTGGTATCTCCAAGCACAATGGTGACTCTCTTTCGTTAGTGATCAAAAAATTCACTCGCTCGCTCTGTTTTTCTTTTTTGGTTCCTGTTAGTCAATGCGTTCAACGCTTTTGCCGCAGCAGCCACCCTTCACTCCCTCTTCCCATCGCCGTCGCCGTCGCCGTCGAAGTCGCTATCGGGGTCGCCGCCGGCGATGAGCTCCGTCATGTCGCGCATGCGGTAGTCGAGGATGGGGGTGACCCAGTCGTCCTGGACGAGGGAGTAGGACTCTGGGGCGTTGTCGCGGGGCTTGCGGGGGTTGAGGGCCCAGTAGCCGAAGTCGGCGTCGAGGCGCTTGAGGTAGCGCATGAGGTTGCGCCAGTAGTTGGCGTCGCCGGCGCCGGGCTGGCGCGGGGCGCCGAATTCGCCGACCCAGACGGGCGCGAGGTCCTGCTCGACCAGGTACGCCCAGTTGCGGCGCATCGCCTGCATGAAGGACGCGTAGCCGCGCTTGGCGTAGCGGCCCTCGCGGCTGCCCCAGCCCGACCACGAGTACACGTGCGCCGAGTAGACGACGCGGTCGGCCACGTCGAGCCGCACGGGCCGCTCGAGCGCGCGCGTCAGGTCGTTGCCGGATTCGGTGCCGCCGACGACGATGAGCCAGTCGCCGTTCATCTTGAGCAGGCGGTTGCCGCACTTCTCGGCGGCGGCGGCCCAGCGGTCCCACGACATGGTGCCCCAGACCCCGCGCACCTCGTTGCGCAGGTCGGCGCCGATGACGCGCGGGTTGTCGACGAAGCGCTCCATGACCTGCTCCCAGTGGCGGACCCAGTCCTCCTCCGACTGCGAGACGCGGCAGATGGGGCCGAGGTGGTCGTTGGCCCAGCCGGCGTCGCAGGGGTCGGCGCCGCAGCACCAGGTGGCGGTGGTGATGTGGTTGTTGACTACGACGGCGATGCCGGCGTCGGTGAGCGCCTCGACGACGGCCTGGAAGATGTCGAGGGCGCGCAGGCCGACGAGGTCCGGGTTGGCGGTGAGCAGGTGGGGCAGGATGGTCGGGTTGCGCATCACCATCTCGTCCGAGTAGGGCAGGCGCACGCTGTTGAAGCCCAGCAGGCGGATGGTGCCGGCGATGACGGACCGGTGCTGCACGTCGAGGCCGCCGGGGATGAAGAGCTCGTCGCTCGCGCCGTACCAGTTGACGCTCGCCATCTTGTAGCGCCGGCCCGCGGCGTCCACCACGTCCCGGCCCCGCGTGCGCAGCGGCAGCGCGTACGTCGCTATGCTCGACGACTCTCGGAACGCGGGCAGCGGCCGCTGGCTGAAGAGCTCGTCCCCGGCGTCCGGCACCCACGGCTCGTGCAGAGCCGCCTCGGCTTTCCACAGGTAGTGGACGTAGCCGCCCAGGAAGAGGAATAGGAATATCAGGACCTGATACATTGTCTATATCTAATTCTTTCGTATGCGGTTGTATCGAAGAAAAGGTGGCGATCGAATGTCGGTAAGGGAGGGCTTGTCGGGGGCCCAGTATAGAGGAGAGGGTGGATCTAGACGTAGTAGCGAATGACGCTGTCCAGCAATTCGTAACAAGACACTACCACTGCTAAAGATGATGGTATAGAGCCCATTGTAATGTGTGGGCTTCCAGCTCACATAGAGAAGAGATGGATTGGAAGGAAATGTCGAGTCGAATCGAGTCGGAGAATTGAAGGATGGTGTAAGCTGTCAGCGAGCCGTTCCTGCACCTGCGTCAACCAAGTGACGTTGAAGGGAAGATACAGGCGGGACAGCGGGGACAACCCCCCTAAGTACCTAGTACGTACCATCCCGCCGCTACTGATCCCCTAAAACCCGGCTTTCCCGGCCCTGAACTTTCCTTGTTCCAAATTGTAATCCTCTAACTCGCTAGTTACGTAAGCACATTCCTCCTCTGATTGAGAATTATCGAGGGGAGTTGAGAACGACCTTGTATATCTTATAAGGCTGGAAAGTGCAAATTTTGTTGGATTTTAGATCAATAGCGAGATGCATGTTACCTTCGGATCACACAAAGAGGAGTTAAACCGTGTACAGTAAGTCCTGGGATATCTCCGACTCACTTGACTACATTGACAGCTAGAAATATTTGGGCTAGCTGGTTCTTAACATGCAGTGTATAATATGAAATCATTGAGTTGATATTCTGCACCAAGCTGATATAATATGATGCATTGGAACGCACAGCTGGATGAACGTGGATACACTTGGACGGGAAGCAAAACAGATATACAGGTAGGGTGATATCTCTTATTGATTTAATCGGACATATATATACATCCAGTACGTAGTAGCTAGACTACCTATCCGAGCTCGACAAGGCCAAGCCTAAAATCAATATCGCTTCGCGT